AGGCCCTCACTGGTGCTGTGTCCCCTTGAGAAGTTCCAGGAATAAAATGATCTAATGCGGATGGAAAAGGGGCCACATACGGAAGCTGACAAGCTCAGGGGAGGCCTTACAAACTCAGAGACCAGAACTAACCACATAGGATGGTCTGAAATCACCACTTCTTAACTAGAAGTGAGTCATGGCCGGGAGTCACGTCCTAGGCCAGTACCTTCCTTGACACAGGTCAGTCTCCACCGTAATGAGCCTGAACATTGTCTCTTTGCATCTCTGATAACATACCTTGGGAATGTCAGAGAATCCCCTCAGAGTACAGCCTCTCACCAGAGCGGGAGACCACAGAACCCTGCGTTGCTGTCTTGTTCCCCGCATACTATCTCTATGTGCTGTAAATGTTCATTGTTAACTGTCCGGCACCCACCAATGTAAAAGAAGTACTTGTTTCTCCATTTCCTCCAGTCTCAGGAAATGAGAGTTACTCCCACCTCCCTAATCTACCACCACTGGATTCCATGAAACCCCCCTTACGTCTCCTCCTTTGACTGTAATGTACAAAATAAACTGCAAAAGTACCAGTCTCCTGAGCATTTTCTCAATCATTTGAGATTTTTATCTCCTGGCAACTGTCATCACTTTGGCTCAAATAAATTAATAAAATTCTCTACAGGTTTGGACATTTCTTACATTGACAGTAATTACTGGTCCCGAGGGTCAGTGACAGATGCCCACTCATGAGTCAGCAGTTTCACTCCTGAATATGCACAGTGGAATACTATACAGCAAGGAAAAGGACAGGTCCCCCCAGCAGGTTACAAAGAACATTCATGGAGGTGATGTCGAGTGAAAGATGCCAGACAGAAAAGAAGGCACCATTGGTTCCATTACATCATTTTAGGAAACAGGCAGCTTCATCCATGATAACAGAGCTGGGCATGGCTGGTATCCAGGGGCACTGAGCATGATGGGAGAGAGCCCAGGGTGCTCCCGGGCTGGAATGTCTGGAACCTATCCAGGAGGCAGTCCCATGGGCATACATTGTACATGTCATTGAGCTGAGCATAAGATTAGTCCTTTTTTCTTTACTTCTTTGAC